TAAATTATAGCTGTGTAGTAGACAGCAATTGTTATAAGTGACACTCCCTAGTACTGATATACTAGATTCGATTTATCTTGCACCAAACCCACGCATAAGGGATACGGAAACGGTGTCGGTGACGAAATCAATGTGTAGAATCATACCTTTAATCAATACAATGACTACATATTGCCCATCATGATTCTCATTCTCCTCTGTTAATGCCTCGGATAGATGCCTCGGCTAGATTTTCATTCTCCTCTGTCAATGCCTCGGATAGGTCAAACTTCGCGATCTTGTACAATTCAGAATTCTGGTGGTTTCGCCCTCTATTACTTTTATGTATAAAATATTTATGTAGCCCATCAGAACTTCAAATTGTATTTATTTTTTATAGTATGCGCCAGAGAGTGAGCTGTCTGACAGAACATGCATATCGAAGCCACAGTAGATCTTCCCATTTCTGCTAGTCTGTTCTGGACGATACGGAATAGAGAAGACTATCTTGCCATCGAATGCAAGTACCTTAAAAATGCGTCAAAAGTATGCACTTCAGAGGATCGTGATACGGACGGTAGGGTAACTGCTCAGCATCTAGCAACTAAACCTGACCTATCCATCGTACCACCGTTTCTACTAAAGATGCTCCCGGGTGATGACGGCTTAGTGTTTTATGATGATCTCGAATTCTGCTTCGATGATGAAACAACACCCTACGCGTTTATAGCACGTACAACACCGTCGGTTTTTAACGAGAAAGCGAAGATTAAAGGTTATGTGAGGGTCATTCCCTCGGCGGACGGATTAAGCTGCACGCAGTCAGTGAGCATGGACGCCAAGGTATCGCAGTGGGGTGTAGGCGGCATAGTAGAGACGTTAGTTGCCAAAGGCATACAAGATGCGTATCATATCATGCCTGACATGGTCAGGGAGTGGCAAAAGACGCAGGCGCAAATAGAAACAGAAACACCAGAAACCTCACCACAACCAGCAGCCAAGCGAGCCAAATCAGAAGTGCGTATGAGGATCCCCAAACCAGCCACCTTGACAGAAAGACGCAAAGCTACAAGTATTGTACTGGACGATATAGGGCTGCACTATTCCACCGACCTCCTACACTTTGCCAAACCAGTACTGGATGCAGTACCGTCTAGTAGACCCGTGTCACCTTCGCCATCGAATACGTTGGTCGAGGGGGATGAGCTCAAGGATACACACTTTCCAAGGCACAAGAACATCCCAAGTGACTTTCTTTCTAGTAGTACTATTATGAGCGAAAGAAATGTAGTACCTTCTATGCACAAGTTGGATGACGCGGAGCAGGGCTACCTCGGCAACTATAGTTTTATATTTCAAAGTACAACACTAGTACCAGTAAATGACATGACTGACGGGGATAATTCGGCAGTAAGATCAACCGAAGTGCAACGTGTACACAGTGGTCGCTCAACAATTACTGGTCCATTGATAGTGATATGCCGAATTTATATCTTGTATTACTTGTTCAGTATTGGACAAATGTTAGGAATCGGCAATTGAAGTATCTACGATAATGTGTATATACCTTAGCACTCGTTTGAAAATGGTCTTTGTTTAGTACTGTACAGAATATCCGATTATTTTGAAGCATACCATTACTGCAAATATTAAAAGACGAAAATTTCGGTAAACGAGATATGCATATTTATCGCCTGCCAGTGTAATAAGTATATAATAAATATATATTTACATGTATATGTATATATCTATATATATATATATAAATATATATATTTAAATATATTTATATATATATATAAACATATATATATATATATATACATATATATAGATACATATTATATATATATATATGTATATATGTATATATACGCAGAGAAATGTAAACATTTTATTGCGAAGTGTGCAGACTGCGCAGGGACTGGAGGTTACCACAAACACATGTGTGAGGTGCAACCGAAGGTAGAAGTTAAGAGACAATCTTACCGAAACTTGTCACTGAAACAAAAGAATGTACCGCAAAATGAGCGCGTCTTTCTAGATGTGCGAGTTAATGGGCATGAAATACAAGCGTTGTCGGATCCGGGGTCGCAGATTTCATGTATATCATCGAGATTCTGTAAGATAACTGATATAACTCGTAAATCAAAACCTACTATGTTAAATTAGCTGACGAAAGGGAGATTACGTGTCGAAACATGGCCTATATATATATATACAGACATACATATATATATATATATATATATATATATATATATATATATATATATATATATATATATATATATATATATATATATAT